GCTCCATCCTGCTATTCACTTCCCTTTTATGGGTGAGTTCATTCCACTCACATTCACAGTCATGATTACTAGTGTGCATTTCTCTTCATTCTATTTCCTTCTGTTTATCCCTCCCTTTCTTTATCCTGTCCCTTCTCTAAAGTCTGTTTTGCTTCTGACCACTGCCTCCCTTAATCTGTTCTCCCTTTTATCACTTTCCCTTTCTTGTATCCTCTTCCCCTCCTATTTTACTGTTGGGTAAGATAGATTTCTATTACATATATATATATTCTCTTTTTTGAATATGGTGTGTGTGTGTGTGTGTGTGTATATATATATATATATACACACACACACACACACACACACACACACACATATATTCTCTTTTTTGAGCCAATTTAGACATGAGTGAGGTTCAAACATTGCCCATCCCCCTACCATTTCCCCTCCACTGTAAAAGCTCTTCCTTGCATACCTCTTTTATGTTAATTTCCCCCATTCTTTCTTTCCTTTCCCCCTTCTCCCAGAGCATCTCTTTTTCTTGCCTATCCATTTTTTTATATCATCCCAAAATAACTGACTCACTCCCACACCTTCTTTCCATGTAGAATGCTTCCAACTGCTGTAATAATGAGAAAGTTCTTAAAAGATCCATGTATCTTCTTTCCATATAAAAAGGTACACAGTTTAACCTTATTGAGTTCCTTATGATTTCTCTTTCATATTTTTTTTATTCTCTCAAGTCTTATATTTCTAAGTCAAATTTTCTATTCAGCTCTGGTCTTTTTATCAGCAATGCTTGAAAGTCCTATATTTCATTAAATATGTATCTTTCTCTTGAAGAATTATACTCAGCTTTAATGGGTAGGTAATTTTTGGTTGTAATCCTAGCTCCTTTGCTTTCTGGAATATAGTATGCTAAGCCCTCTGTTCCTTTAACATGATAGCTGCTAAATCTTGTGAGATTCTGACTGTGGCTTCATGGAATTTGAATGGTTTCTTTCTTGCTGTTTGAAGTATTTTATCTTTTACCTGGGAGGTCTGGAATTTGACTATAATATTCTTGGGAGTTTTCATCTTGGGATCTCTTTCAGGAAATCATCAGTGGATTCTTTCAATTACTATTTTATCTTCTGGTTTTAGAATATTAGGGATATTTTCCTTGATAATATCTTGAAACAAGATGTCTAGGCTCTTTCTTTGATTATGGCTTTCAGGTAATCCAATAATTCTTAAATTATGTCTCATCAGTCTATGTTCTAGTTCAGTTGTTTTTCTGATGAGATATTTCACTTTTTTTCAGTCTTTTGACTTTGTTTCATTGTTTCTTCACGTCTCAGGGAGTCATTAGCTTTCACTTGCTCAATTCTAATGTTTAAGAAATTATTTTCTTCATTGAGCTTTTGTACCTTTTTCCATTTTGCCAGTTCTGCTTTTTAAGGGGATGTTTTCATCAGTGAATTTTTGTATCTTTTTTTCCATTTGGCCAATTTTGTTTTTTAAGGTGTTATCTTCTTCAGTATTTTTGTGCCTCTTTTACCAAGCTATTGTCTTCTCACAATTTTCTTCCTTTGCTTTCATTTCTTTGTCTAATTTCCCTCCTATTACTCTTATTTGATTTGGAAAATAATTTTCAGCTCTTCCAGGAATTCTTGTTGGGCTTGTGTCCAATTCACATGTTTTCTTTGAGGCTTTGCTTGAAGCTGTTTTGACTTCATTCTTCTGATATTTGTGTCTTGATCTTCTCTGACCATAGCAGCTTTTTATGGTTAGGTTCTTTATTGTTTGTTCATTTTTTCCATTTTATTTACTGATTTGGAATTTGTTGTTGTTGTTAAAGTTGGGCTCTGTTCCTGGCATGAGGCAGCTGGGGTTGGGAGTTGCAGGGTCAGGGTAGGGGGAGTCTATCTCAACCTTCAGGCTTTTTCACACTGCTATTTTTAGAGCTAGTTCTGGGGGGTTGGAAGTTTTTGATGCTTCCAAGGCAGTGTGAGCTAGGAAGAGATGTGGTCACTGCTCTCATGGTCTTTACTCTGGTACATACTCAGGAAGGTCTCCTGATCCCTTGGGCTTGCAATTGATACTGCTCCTCAGGGCCCCTCCTCCTTTGGAACCGGAAATGATACTGTTCCTCAGAGTCCCTTATCCCTTGCAGCTGGAAATTATTATACTCCCCCTTCCCCACCCAGGCTTCCACTCCCTCTTGACCAAAAGTTCTCCTCTCTGCCCTTAAATGGTGACCCAGAAGTAGATACAGACAGAGGACTTGCCAAACAGTGCCTAGTCTCTGAGTCCAGTGCTAGCATAGGAGGTAACCTGTAATTTCCCTCTAACCAGTTGCCAGGCCCCCTTCTTGTCTCTGGCTTGGAAAGTCCCAAAGCTGCTGCTGATTCTGTCTCCACAACCTAGTCTCACCACTGGTGTTTGATCCACAAAGGCTCTGGGCCAGCTGAGACGCCATGTCACAGATCTCTTTCCAACCTCCTATGTTGTTTTGGGCTGGAATAATGTTTCACTTTGACCTTTTGTTGGCTTTGCCACTATAGAATTTGATTTAAGGCATTATTTTAAAGTTAGTTGGAGGAAAATATTGGGAGGGCTTAGCTGAGTGCTTCTATAGTCTGCCTTCTTAGCTCCACCCCCAGAAGTCTCACAGAAAATCCTAACCTCACCCTGTGCCTAATAATCCATCTAGTGGTAGGTACCACACAGGACTGCCCTGTGACCAATATCTGTGGAAGGATTATACATACCACCACACACCACCACCACCATCACCCCTACATGAAGCCACAAATAGACCACTGAGAAGGAAAAGAATGGGCTTAGCACCCAACCTAGTAGGTGGCTTTATATAAGAAATAAATACACAAGCATACCCCTACAGCTTCTTTCCAAGGTAGAGACATAATAAACTTCTACAGAGCAAAGCAAAGGGCTTCTGATGCTTCTTACAAACCATGTTACCCTGGACAACTCATTTAAGTTCTCTGGGTCTCAGTTTCCTCATCTGTCAAAGTGAGAGGGTTGATTAGATGGCTTCCAAACTCCCTTCCAACTCCAGAAAGTATTTGTATGATTCTCAAAGCTTCCTTCCAATCCTAATTCTCTATAAATTTGATGAAATCCTATAGCTACAAGGAAAATATAACCGGGGGAAAAAATCTTTGCATCAAGTTTCTGATAAGTCATTTCCAAAATATATAAGAAATTTATTCAAATTTTAGATTGAGGATCATGCCCCAATGGATAAGTCACCAAAGGATATGAATAGGCAATTTTCAAAAGCAGTAATCCAAGCTAGCAATAATCATATAAAAATGTTCCAAATCAATAATTAGAGAAATGCTTATTAAGTCATCTATGAGTTTCCACTTCACATCCATCAGACTGGCAAAGAGGACAAAAGAAAAAAATGACAAATGGAGAGGATGAGAGAAAATGGGCACACTAATGCACTGTTGGGGGAGTTGTGAACTGGCCCATCTATTCTGAAAAGCAATTTGGAATTAAGCCCCCAAAGTTATTAAAGTGTGCATAGCATTTGACCCAGCTATCAAAGAAATGAAAAGGATGCACATACGCAAAAATATTTATTAGCAACTCTTTTCTAGTAGCAAAAAACTGGAAACTAAAAGTGTATATTAGGGTATATGAATGCATTGGAATATTACTACACCATAAGAAAAGACAAAACAGACAATTTCAGAACAAATTGGGATAATACCTATGAATTATTGCAGAGTGAATTGAGAACTAGAACAATCTTATTCAGTGCGACATTATCAAGAAAAACAATGTTGAGGTTTTTAGAACTCTAATCAATGCTAAGATTCCAGAGGATGATTGGATGTAAAGGGTGTTTGGAGTTGAGGTACATGGGAGGTGGGGTGGGGTAGAGAAAACCACTGGTTTTGAGGCTGGGTAACGGAAGTATAGTAGTGCCATCAAATGAAACAGGAAAGTTTTCTGGACATGAAAAGGGAGGTTTGGGGTGGGGGGGTAATGATTAATTCAGTCACTTGGGTTCATGTTGAGTTCCAAGGGATTGGGGTTGAATCTGGGTAGATTTATATATACGTTTGTTGGCCCTGACCTATGATTTTACCAGCATGGAAATTCTCCCTAAGCATATGAAAGTCATGCAACCCTTGGTCTTCACTAAGTTGGGACGGTGAATAACAAAACTCATGGTCACAAAGCTGTGTTAAGAGACAGAACCTGAATACAGGTCTTCTTAACTCCAAGACTGGTCCTCTATTGATTATACCATACACAGATTTAGAGCTGAAAAGGACCTGAGGTCAAGCTCAATCTCTTCCTTTTACTGAAGATAAAGCTCAAGAGCAGGAAGGAGCCCCAGAACCCCATACCTGGCTGAGAAGGACCTCTAAGAATTTCCTGGGTGGTTATCCCAGCCAGGCTAAATTTTACTGAAAACTTCAAGGTGGGGGGAAGGGGAGAGGTTGTTACTATTTTCAAAGAAAACCCATTCCATTCACAGATGGCTCTAATTGTCCAAAGCTTTTCCTGGCCTGAGCTCAACTCTGTCCCTCTACAACTTTTGCCAGTTGCTTCTAGCTCTGGGTCTAAACAAAACAATTTCAGTCCAACTTCCATATGACAAATACCTGAAGATCTTTTATGTCTCCTCCAATTCCTCTCTTCTCCAGGCTAAGCATGACCTCTAAGCCTTCTGCCAATTCTGGCTGACCTCTAGCTAATCAATGACCTTCCCAGAACCAAACACAAAACCCCAGATATGGTCTGGTCAGGGCAGAGTGCAGGAGGATGGCCACCTCACTTGTCCCTCCTAATGCAGCTAAACATAGAGTCAGCTTTTTGGCTGCCATAACTTCTAACTCACAACGAATCTGCAGCCTCCTTAAAGCCCAAGATATTTTTCACATAAACTATTCTCTAGCCACACCTTCCCTGCTCAGTTGATTAATCAACCCTATAGGCAGGGCATTCTGATTCCCACTTCAGTAACAAAACAAATGAGGTTATCCACAAAAGCTTGTAACAACAGAATTTTATTAAACAGTTTGCTTAGGCAGAGCTTTATATTTGACTAACAAGGGGTCTTTTCACACATTTTTTTCTCCTGAGGAATTATATGCCATGCCTGTAATTGACTTCTCTGCAGGATTGTTTTTCTGGGAAAAAAACCTGCTTCTTTTTCTTGCATTTTGGTATAATTACAAATTATGTGTCTAACTGGAAAGTAAAGTAAACCTACTTCCCGAGAAAGACAAAGATAATAATGAAAAGGTAATAAAGGAAATAGATATTTCCTTGTACCTTTTATCAAAAAATCACTTATCTAATGCAGCTAAACATATAGAAGACCTGGGACGTAGGCCAAAATTGCAGCCAAACTACTCCAGGAAGGACTGAATGTCTGGTTTTATTTTTAAGTGTAATTTTCACATATGACAGGTGGCTCTGTTCCACATTGGAGAGTAGACTTCATTTGCACAAGAAACTCAAATATTGGTCTCTGGCACAAGAAAATGTCTCTCAGGGCTTAGTAATATATAATTTGATAGAAAAAAATTGCCTTCAGAAAAATTTCACAAGTTTTACTAAACATTTCAAGCATTTCACAGCTTTCATATATTAAAAAAAAGGTTTCCTTCCAGAAATTTAGCTTATTTACAAACTAAAATCTAATCGCTATCATCAGAACCCCGTTCTGAGGCCTCATTGTTGGAAGCCTCTGGTTCTGAATCATTCCCAGAGCCCCTTGCAGAAGCCTCATTATCAGAGGCTCTCTCTGACTCCCGGTCTGAATCAGCACTCGGTGAAGCTGGCCGGGACTCATTGTCAGAACCTGGAGAGTGGCTCCGTCCTGATTGGACAGACTCATTGTCAGACTGTTCAGACACCGAGCGTCTTCTCTTTGGAGCTGACCGGTCACTGTCAGAATCCTCCTCTGACTGTTGCACGCTGGATCTCCGGGGGCTGCCCGCTTCACTCCCAGACTGATTTGGGTTCTCGTCAGAATCGCTCTCTGACATCACATGTTTCTTACGTAGATCACCATCATCTGAATCACTATTGCTGTTCCTGGCATGTCTGACAAATACAAGCACCAGTTATGCTGAGGGCTCTGGGGACTCAGCAAGCATGGAACTGGGAGGAGTGCACATGAATGAAAAGCAAACAAACCCTAAGGGGATGCTCTCTTTCACTGGGATACCTGGGGCTTTTTGTCAAAATCTAGGATTTCCTGATTCCAAACACAAAATCGTGAAGTGGAGAAAAAAGGGGTAAAATGGCATTCTTAAGAAATTTTACAGAAGTTCTGGCAAAACCTACAACTCAGTTGGCATAAAAGTCTCTCAGAGGTCTGGAGAATGTTAAACACCTAAACTATAGCAATGTATCTGGTTCTGATTTTCAAATATTTGGAAAATTCTTCCAAGAAGAAAGTTTTCTACAGGGCTTGGTGCTCTGCCAAATATGTTCCAGTGGAGGATGGAGAAGAAGGCAGACACTCCTACCCTGGGAATCAAGACCTCTTCACATGCACAAGAGATAAGGGAGAATCCTATCCCATGCAAAGGTGAAACAAGAAGCACGAAATGAAGGTGACCCAACCAACCAACAGAACAGGAGACAGCGCAGTGGACACTTGCTAGTTAGTGAATGCTAGGAGGAGAGTAAAGGTCGGCACTATAGACATGATCCCTCTTAACTCCAGAGTCCTCCTATCATGACTACCAGGAAAAGCTGCAGATTTCCAAGAAGCCCCAAGAAATACAGCTTGGTCCTCGCTCAGGACTCCAGCATTCAGCTACACCCTTACTTCACCTTCTCTGATGTTCAAAAAGTTCACATCTATCAGACACCTTCACTGATGTTTCACTCAAACTAGGACTGTACCTTCTATTTATTTTTAGTACAGCAGGCTCTTCGAACTGCAGGCAGAAGAGAGAGTGTCTTATATTTAGGAAAAGAACCTTGGACTCATGGTAAATTTTCTGAAGACCATGCCACCACTGCTAAAACAGTCAACAAACTGGACAAAATTAAGAATTATTAGAAGGATGATATGGTGGAGAGAGACTAAGATTAGGAATTCTAACAAGATAAGACATAAAAAATCACTTTGGATGAAAGCATAGATCATATACTTATGAAAATCATGGATCAGATGACGCAATGAAGAATACTAAAGCTCTGGACAGATAAGAACCATGGACAGAATCTAACAAAATGAAACCGAACAGGGACGGATATAACAAATTACGCTTTGGTTCAAAAAAATCAACTACACAAAAAAAGGGGGACAAAAGACATGAATGGCGAGCAGGTCCATGTTAAAAAAAAAAGTCTTGAGTGATTTTAGCTCAACATGACTCAACCATGTGTCATGGCTGCCAAAAAGCTAAAATGATCTTAGGTTGCATCAATGGGCCTGCACAAAGTCCAAAATTAGAAGGCGCCACACTGTGTTCAGTTCTGAGTGTTACACTTTAGAAGGGACATTTACAAACTGGTTTAAGCATAGATGAGGCTAATGAGGACAGTGAGGTATTTAGGAAGCACCTCAGATAGAAATGGTTGAAGGAGATACACGGGATTTGCCTGGAGTAAAAACTGCTTTCTATGGGGGTAGGAGGAAGAGGAAAAGATATGACAGCTGTCTTCAAATGTTTAGAGGGCTGTCAGAAGGGAGAGGCAATAGGATTGCTTTTTTAAAAGTGAGAACTTGGTCTCATGTCGGCTCAATATCAGGAAGAACTTTCTAACAACTAATCTCGTCTTTTGTTTCTTGTCACAAGAAATGCTCAAGCAGAGGCCTGATAACCATTTGGAGGGACTGTTGTAATGGATACTTAATTATCAGGCAGAGGGTTGGTGACCTCTAAAAAATGGAAAAGACCAGCTGGGAAAGAAGGCGGCTTGGGTACTATTGCTGAAGTCAGACAAATGGTAGAAAAAGTGAATCTAGATTTGTTTGCCATGTGCCTGAATGAGGAAGACTGTATGAAAAACAATCTAAGTACAAGAAAAGAAAGCAGTATTTCACATATGAGTCATTATAATTAGAGCACTCATACACTGAAAATATGGAGATGCAAAAAAAGCATAGAAGAATTCAGCTATGGGGAAATGAAGAGAACTGGGATGTTTCAGGGGACATTCCCCACACCATTAAAGCTGGTATCAAAGTAGACAAGTATCTCCTTCGGCAACACATACTTTGGTGCCTGTCAGAAACAGAATCATGGGCTGAACAGCCCACTGGTCTGAACAGCTCGTTGGTCTGAATAAGGGGGACAATTTTTATGTTGTTACAATTTGGCAGCCTGAAGGCTCAAGTCTTCTGACCCTTCTGTTCATCTTAGTCTGGTATTATAAAGGGAGAAACCCCCTAGTACAAAACTCCCTTTCCCTATTCATCATTTTCCGTTCCACAAACACCCAGAGCCCACTATTCTCCTCCTGTGGCTGGAAAGTAGAGGCGGGGAAGGAGGAGGAAAAACACAGAGGATGCTCTGTACTAGCCAAAGCACTCAGTACTAGTGAAGGCACTCAAACCTCATCCTATGTCCTCCAAACTCCATTTCTCCCCTGGTACAAGAACACAAAGCTTTTTCAAGCAGACAGGCTTAGTTAACAATTATTTTCATCCACACACATTCCCACAGCAGAGTAATTTGCCAAGAGAAAAAATACCTACCCCTCATCAGCAATTTTAAGTTTATCTTCATCTGAAGAATCATCACTTGATGAGATTATGGCTTTTGATTTTATTTTTCCCTTCATTGAAGGAGGCAACCGTTCTGGCTTAGGCTAAAAACAAAAACAAAATCAAAAAAACCACACAAAGACAATTAGTGAAAAATTTAATTCTAGGTAATTTTGATAAACTGATTAAATAATGCAGAACCAAAGAGTAACTGAACAACTGTAAATAAAACACTACCACTTGTGCCCCACAGTCTCATTATGTGAGGGAGTGATTTTCAGGGCGTACAGAATGACACTCTTCCCCTTGCCCCTCATAACTCCGGAAGCCTCAACTGGTTACTGAGCACAATCCAAACTCATGGCATTTAGGGCCTCCAAGTTTTTTTGTCAACCTCATTGCCCATTACTCCTCGCGACATCTTCTATGAACCAAGTAAACAAGATAATTCCCAACCTCACTGAATATCTTCCATAATCTACTACTCCACTCAACAGTCTTTTGATTCCCACTTTGATCCCACTTTTTAGACAGCTGAGGGATGCAGTGGACAGGGCGCAGGGCCAGGAAAACTTAGTTCAAATCCAGCCTCAGGCACTTATTAGCTGTGCGACCTTGGGCAAGTGATCTAACCTCCATTCACCTCCACTTCCTCATCTATAAAATGGAAATAATAATAGCATCTAACTCCCAGGATTGTTATGAGCCTAAAATGAGGTAATAATTATAAAGTGCTTAGCACAGTGCATGGCACACAGTAAGAGCTATATAAATGTTAGCTATCATTACTATTCTTCTTCTTAGTTCTACCACTGGAATGCCTTTCCCCTCTGACCACTACTATCCTAATCAGCTTCTGCATGGCACAGCCCAAATGCTACCTCCTCCTACAGCCCTTCTAGATGCCCCAGCCAGAAATAAACTCTCGGCTCTCTTGAGCTCACCATTTTGTATTCTCCTTAGGCAAGCAGTCTGGTCTTTTTACTTGATTTGTAAACATCTCATTTCCCACAAAATTGTAAGGTTCTTGAGGGCACCTGCCTTATTTATCTTATTTACAGTGGGTATGGAATAAAAGAGAGCTGGTTTCAGAATCCAGAAGACTCAGAGCAAGTTCCCTAGGCAACTATCTAAGCCGAGAAATTGCCAAGAACTTGTGGATCTGCACTGCTGGAGAGGTTCCTCATCTGGGAGTTCCATATACCAAATGAAAGCACAAGCCCAGCCCCAATTCTTCCCCAAAAGAGAAATGCACGGATGAATAGGGTGTGAAAACCCCACAGAATGTACTCACGGCCTTCTTCTTTTCTGCTTTAAGTGGGCGACGCTTTTTCGGCCTGGGGCCATTTTCAGCTTCTTCCTCATCAGATCCATCATCTCCCTTCGGTGGTCTTAATAAAGACGAGGAGACAAAGAACATACTTAAGTAACATTCATGCCTGTTAGAATATTACCCTATAACGGCGGCCAGGTGGCATGATGGATAGAGCACCAGTCCTACAGTCATAAGGACCTGAGTTCAAAGCTGGCCTCAGACACATAATATTCACTAGCTGTGTGACTCTGGGCAAGTCACAACCCCAACTGCCTCACAAAAAAAAAATTTTTTTACCCTATTCACAGATGCTGCTATATACTTTCATATGAACACATACATAGTTTGTGTCCATAACTACATTATAAAGTCCTCAAGGACACAGACCAGGTTTTCTATTCCTTGTAGATCCTTCCTCTGTGCACATGGCACAAGACAGCAAAAATAGTACACTCAAGAAAGATGTGCTGATTTAGGAAACATCAATCCTCTCCTGTTAATCTAAGGCAGGGTGAGCTTTACACAGGTCTGTGATAGGTAGGCACTTACAGGGGGGTAATTTGAGGAACATTACCAAGGCTCTTCTGCACCCAAAAATATCTTCCTCAAAGCTACAGACGGTAGAATGTTGTTACTCATTTTCCAAATGCTTTTAATGATCAGAAACAAAAGGTCCACACTGCACAAAAAACATGAATGTACAACAACTCTGAGATGTTTTAAGTTCTGTTATAGTTTGAGGTCTTTTCAACATCAGAGCATTCTTTGCTGCAAATAAAGCCATAGTCTGAGCAGGATCCTTAACTGTTTTTGTCATGATCTCCTGTGAAGCCTATGAATTGTTTTCTCAGAAAAATGTCTTTAAATATATAGGATTGCAAAGGAAACCAATTATGTTGAAATACAGCTATTCGAATTTTCTAAAACAAGTTCATAGCCCCTGGATTAAGAACCTTTGTTTTAAAGAAAGAGAGGCTTAAAAAAAAAAGGACTGAAATGTCTCAGAAGATTTAGGTGACTAGGATTTCCCAATGTTCTAAACATCATCACTATGAGCTCTACAGAAATCCTGCTCCAAGTCTTCCCTGAGGCGTGGAGAGCGCCAAAGGCTCCCAAAGGCTGTGATGCCAACAGAGCACAAGCTGGGGCAGGTGCTCCTGGGCTCTGAAGAAGGAAGGGCTGAAGACACTAGGGAAGCTCACATATTTCTGTGAGAAGACTCCATGTTTGTAGAGGTGGAATTAAACTTAAGGCAGTGTTCTGGCTAGCTCTATCCCACAGTTCCCTAACCCACATTGCAGTCAGAGAAAAGCAGATGGTACTACATCTACCAGAGCCAGCTAAACTCTGAATGCCACAATTCATTACCTTCATTATGGCTACGCAGAAGAGGTTTAGGGTGGTGTCAGGGCAGAAGCAGGGGGGAGGCAAAGAGAAAGAAGGAAAAAGAGGAGAATCCTGCTCCTCCCCCACTCCCTTCAGAATCCATCTGGGGGCCTAATTCCTCATAATACAAGGCTCATCACCTCTAATAAGGATTAGGAAGATGGAGGAGCACCAGGTCTTACCATCAGCCCTTCGGACCCAGGCACTGACATCTGACCAACAGACAAGGACCTTGGGCCTTGCCATCTGCCCCTCCACTCTTCTCTGAATACTTCCTTCCACTTACCCTACAGCTAAATTGTCTTACATGTGCTGTCTCCTCCAACGGACTGTCCTGACTTTTCTATTTGTATCCCCAGAGCTTAGCACAGTGCTTGACACAGCATCAATGCTTAATAAATGCTTTTTCACACATTCATTGATTCATTCATTATTTGAGGCTAGTCTAGCTACATGCGATGTAGAATGCTGGATCTAGAGTCAGGAAGACCCAAGTTGGAATCCTGCCTTGGACACTCCTTAGCTCTGTGACTCTGAGCAAGTCATTTAAATTCTCTCAGCATCAGTTTCTTCATCTGTAAAATGGGGATAATAACAGCACCTAATTTACAAAGTTTAATGAGATCATGCCTACTTTAAAACAGATTTTGCTCTTTAGTCTACTGTATATATTGTGAGGCTCAAAAGAGAGATTAGTTGGAGAAGGGGTGGAAAGGTTGATCTGCATCAGGGGAAGGAAAAACCATACCAGGAGTGTCACCACAGGCCCCTCCCACTATCCAAGTACAAACCATGCATCAGAAACTAGATGAACTCTAAGCCGTTCTTATACTTTAGTACAAATCTGTGAAAAACACTTTGTTTTCAAGAAACTAAGAAAACCAGTTGAGGGCTCCTTCAAGACTAACTTACCTCCTCCGCTTTTTCTTCTTCCTCTCACCCTCCTCCTCTTCCCCTTCTTGTTCACTTCCACTGCCTTTCCTTTTCTTCTTCTTCTTGGACACAGGCATGTCTTCATCAGTGTCATCATTGACAAATTCATCAAACTCACCTCCCTTCTTAGAACGCTGAAACCAACAGAAACCAAAACCAATTACTCCTTGGTAAGTGGACCACACTTGAGTACTGATAAAAAAAACCAAAATAGTAAAAAAGGATCTATAACTATTTACCCTACCAGAGCTATTTTTACTTTACAGCTCTACTGAGGCAGCAACGTGGAAAAGTAGACAGTACTCCAGACCCGAATCTGGAAGACTTGAGTTCAAATCCAGCTTCAGACACTAATTGTGCTACCCTGAGCAAGTCACTTAACCTGCTTGCCTCAATTTCCTCAAAGGTAAAACAGGGTTAATAATCACACCTACCTCCAGGGGTTTTGTGAGGATCAAATGAAATCACATTTATAAAGCTCTCAGCTTAGTGCCTAGCACTCAGTAGGTACTTAATAAATGCCTGTTCCAACCTTCCATTCTATTTATCCATTAAATCCCATTTGGTAAGTACCCAGGGAATGGTGCCTGAGCCAGACCCAAGTTTTCTTTCCTTTTTTTTTTTTTTTGGTTAAGGCAAATGGGGTTAAGTGACTTGCCCAAGGTCACACAGCTAGTAGGTGTCAAGTGTTTGGTCTGAGGCCAGATTTGAACTCAGGTCCTCCTGACTTCAGGGCCGGTGCTCTATCCACTGTGCTACCCAGCTGTCCCCAGGCCCAAGTTTCAAACATCCTATAGTGAAAGAATATTATCAGATTTTTTTAACTGTGGGCTGGGCTCCCTGGGCCATTGCCACCATCACAGAGAGGAGTACCCACCCTGCCCCCGCCTCCGCCGCCCCCGCCTCTCTTCTTCTCCTTCGTTCCTTCAGCTTCTCCTGTGAACATGAGGATGTTCTTGGTCTTCTCTACATACTGCGCGCGCTGCTCCAGGAGTTTCTTCTGCTCTTCTTTCTCTCGAAGACGCTTCTCTTCCTGCAAAATACAAAACACAAGGGAGCAGCTGGTCAGCACACCTCCTGTGTGCATGCCCAAGGGCCTGGTGGCCCCAGAAGCCCCCCACTGCAGCCACCCCAGAGAGACACGCCAACAGAACCTGTTCCTTCAGCAGTTTCTGCCGTAACAATTCTTTCTCCTGCTCCTGCTTGGCCCGTAGCTCCCTCTCCTCTTCATCCTGTTTGCGTGCACGGGCCACGTGGTACTGAGCCTGGCTCAGTAAATCAGAGCACTGCCTGGAACATTTAGAGAAACATAGGTGGTGGGGCTGATCCTTATAATGCAAATAACCCCCGAAGGAGCCTCATTTGATATTTATGTCAAGCCTTAATTCACAAGAACAACAATTTACTTAATCAAAAACATACATTCAAGTTTAAAGCAATGCTAAGAAATATTTTTTCATCTGAGAAGAGGAAAAGATGTTAAACTCAGACTCATACATTGTGACTTGGACTTGGGACGGACATTTGATTCTGGGGATACAGCAAACATCACCCAGGTCCTTTACTGAAATTCAGAGTTCACAGAGTTCAGAGGTAGAAGGAACCTTGAAGATCATCCACCCCCCAACTTCTTCACTTCGTGGACACCCAGAAAGGCTACTCTACGACTGGCCTAAAGTTATCTTTCCATGAATAGCAATCGTTCATAATCACTTTGGCAAATTCCCTAAGAGGACACCAGGCCTCAACAAGAGCAACCTTGGTCTGGATAGGGAGGGTTCATAGAACAGTTGAGATTTTTAGAAGTTTAAACATCACAGAGGCATAGAATGACATATTTGAAAAGAACTTTGGAATTAATCAACCCATTAATATTTATCAAACATCTATTATGAAGCAGGTAGGTGCTGGCAATGACACAGAGACCAAAAAGAAAAAAAAGAATAAAAAGACAAAAGCAGGCTCTGCCCTCAAGGAGCTTACATTCTATTTGGCAAAACACCACACACACAAATCAGCAAATATAAAACAGAGTAACTGCCTACTTTCACAGATGAAGAAACTAAAGCCCAGAGAAGGAGAATAAAGGACTTCCCCACTGTCATACAGACTGGCAGTGAGTGTAGAGCTAGGAACAGAACCCAGTTGCCCCAAGACCCAATCCATCTAAGACTCTTTCCATAATACTACAACCATCCCTTCAGACCCATCTTGGGCAAGTCTCGAAGAATTAACCTTCGATTTTGTTGTTACACTTTCCAGGCAATCACTAGTGGCACAAAATAATGGCCACACCTGACAAAGTTTATTAGTACCAACAATGCCATGTTTAGCAACATAAAGACTCTTACCTGGCTTCTGTAGCAGCGAGGGCCAAGTCAAATCTCATTTTGTCTCCTACTTTACTCAAATAACTAAAATACCTAGTTTGAATATGGGGGGAAAAGGATATTTAATGATAAGTTGAAGAACATTTTACATATTATTTTAAAAATTATTCAATGTCTAAAGAAACAAATAACTTTAGAATTTTAAATTTGCTTTGCAATTTAAAAAACCTTCAAAAGACTCATATGCTGGCTGGCTTTTGTGCATGACTCTCTACAAAAAATAATATCATATCAAAAGTAAAATGAGATCAATAACATTTTAAAGAGCAGACAAAATATGCTTATAATTAAAATCAATAATGAGTAAAGTTATCAGCAACAATCAAAAATATTTTAACGTAGCAAAGTTCATCAAAATAAGGAAATTAATATTTAATGCTGCCCTCAGGTAAACCAAAAATTAACCTCTTATTAAGCCAGGCTGTCCTAAAAACCACTCAATATGTCCTTACTATATTCTAGGCACTTGTGGAGAACAGAGAAAGAATTATTTAAAAAAAAACCAAAACATTTTCTGCCCTCAAGGAGGTTTTAAAAAGTTAAAAATATAAACACAAGATATGTTGAAGGCAAAAGGTTTCTCTACTGGATTTAAAATCCTCTAACAGTTAAGTACTCTCGGTCCAGGAAGGAGGTATCCACACAAATGGAATTGGGGGGTTTTGTTTGTTTGTTTAAGTAATGAAGAAAAATAAATACTTCAACAAGTCAGAGAATGGCTCATGTAAAAATAGTTTGCCCAGGTTAAATATTGCTGGGAATACATTAAATCCCTTACATAATGTATTCCCAGCAATATTGTTTCTTTATTCTGTAGTCTGCCCAGGTTAAATATTGCTGGGAATACATTAAATCCCTTACATAATGTATTCCCAGCAATATTGTTTCTTTATTCTGTAGTCAAGAAATTGACTTAAGCAAACTTTGGGAACTCCAGGTTTGTAGATTACAACAACTAGATTTTAAGTAAACTGAAGGTAGGAAACCTATTTTATTTGTCTTTATAGGTGTCTCTCTTGATGTCTCTTCTCAATACCTTATACACTTAAGAAATGTTTCTTGAATGAATAAGGAAATACAGTATTCCAAATGACATTTCTAAAAGCTCTTTGTTTACCTGTGGGCAAGTTCCAGTTCTTTAACCGCATTAAGCACCTCCTTGAGGTTACTCTTCTCATCCTTAAGAACAGATGTAGCTAGCCTCTGAAGTACCAAAGCCACATTGAACATGAGAACTGTATCACTGGGTGCCACATGTCTAGCCTGTGTTCATACAAAGCAAAAGGAAATAGGTTTCATGAGCCAAGCCACCTGAGAGATGGGTCTTGGTCTATCATCTTTGTCCAGGTAGCTTTCAGAGATGCACAAACATGAACAAAAAGGTCTGAAGGAGCAATCTCATGCCACCCCAAGAACCAAACTTTTTACCTTGAGCAAAGTCTGCTTGCACTCCTGCAGCTTGCCACACTTGAAGAGGGCACGGGCCAAATATAGCACCACCTCTGTGTTCTGATGTTTGTAGAACTTTCGGAGGCAGTTTTCATACTACAAAGGAAAGAGAAAGTGCTTGAAACACAACACAGATTACAAGACCATTCCAGTTGAATAGCATGAGTCTGTGTAATTAAAGCACTGCTCGTCAAAAGGGCAAGGCCTTTTCAAAGGTTCTACAGTTTCAGAAAAATCTCAGTTGTGTTTTTGTTTTAACTTTCCTCAGGACACACTTTGGCAACAAAGCTGGACCATTCAAAAATGCATTTGAGAAAGCTGTGTTGTTCTACAATTTGGGACACAAGCAACTCTGAACTGTCTGTACCAATGGCAGGCAGAAGAGTATGAATTTGGAGGACTAAGGTGACAACAAAATATAATTTTGAACAATAACATGCCCTGCCCTCCCATATTTTCTTCCCAGCCCAACCATCCAGTCTCTATTTTCAACCCTGTCCTGGCTCAGCCCTACTGGTGGCAGCTGGAGGCCTGACCAAAAGCAAGAAAGAAGGAGCCCGCCAGCTACTAAAGATGAGCAAGATAAATCAAGACAGCTATAGCACCTCACACAAGAACTTTCTTGTGATTTTTTTAATAGGTAGAATGCCAAAAAAATAAATATTACTACTGCAACAAGGTTCTGTACAATAAGGCCATTTTCACAGCCTGGCAGATGGCAAGTGGTTGAGTTAATCTTAATTTCTAGAATGAATGTACAATAAATGCCTCCTTGGGTCCCTGCTTCCCTAAGTCTCACTACATAACATGGCGGTAGCTGACATTTACACAGTGTTTAACGGTTCATAAAACACTTTACAGTCATTATCTCATTTGGTCCTCAACAACACCTATATGTGTAAGTAGAAATGTTATTACCAGCTCCATTTTGTAAACAAGTAAACCAGGCATGGAGAAAGAAGTGGCCAGGCAGTTAAAAAGATGAACTCTGAGAACAGCATTTGGATTTCTGAACCACAAGTTAAAATCGTATCAACAATGCCTAGCACACAGTAGACATTTAATAAATGCTTATAGATCAACAGGATGCTGGTCAGGTAGTGAGCCTAAGAAGGACCAATTAGAATGTATTTGCCTGGGGGCAGCTAGGTGATGCAGTGGATAGAGCACCAGCCCTGGGGTCAGGAGGACCTGAGTTCAGATCTGGCCTCAGACCAAACACTTAACACTTACTAACTGTGTGACCCTGGGCAAGTCACTTAACCCCAACTGCCTAAAAATAAAATAAATAAATAAATAAATAAACGATGTATTTGCCTGGAGACTTGCAAATGGAACCAAAAGAGCGTAAACTGAAAAGAGGTTTGGAGAAAACCACTACAAATATCCATGAAGCTGGATACTATTAATGAAAAGTTACAATGTAAGAAGACTAAAAAAAGAGATACTCTGGAATTTACAGTAAAAAAAAAATCCAAGAAAGTAGACAGTTACTTAAAACCTCTAGCCTGAGATGTTTAAACACAAACCTACCAAGTACAAGAAATAAGCAAGGACAGAAAGAGATATTAACTGAAGGAGGCAAATTTTATCCCACAAAGATCACTAAGTCTTGGTGGCATGAGACCCATGACTAGGCTCTCCTTCATGTACAGAGAGCATTCTATATTAAAAAGATATGCTCATATGAGAAAATTTGGGAACTAAGGCAGGAAAGCATTGAGGTAAAGATCAAAGATACTGTATTTGGAGTTTCTTATAGACTAGCTACACTAAAAGAGGAAAAAGATGAAGAATTTACTAAAGAGATCATAAACCTTACACAGGAAAATGCTCTAGCAGTGATGTGGGACTTCAAATACCTGGATATCTGGTGGCACATTCTCTCTCCGCCAAGAGCAAATCAATTTCAGAATTTGTTTTAATGATAATTTCATCTTTTAAAAGGTGGAAGAATGAAAAAAGGGGAATGTATATTCTGGATCCGATTCTTACCCACAAAGAACTGAGTGGAAACTATGAGAACCTTCAGTTCAGTTCAACAGATACTAACTTCTACTATGTGCAAAGGGATGTGACCATTCTATCTCTGAATTTGTGACAGCCTAAACTGTCCATACCTAGAAATTCCATTGCTTAGGAATATATCCAAAAGAGGGTGATGACAAGAAAAAAGGCCCTATGTACATCAAATATCTATAGCATAATTTTTTTGTGCTAGCAAAGAATTGAAAAAGAAGATGCTCATCGATTAGGGAATGGCTAAACCAACTGTGGCACACTCTGCAAGAAAGAATGAATGTGATGAATACAGAGAAGTACCGGCAGATTTTGAGTCCTGGGGGCGGGGAGCCCTCTGTCACAGAACAAAGTCCCTTCATAAAAGGATTTGTTCTGGAAAACTTGGATTCAGCCGCACCCTAAGACCTAGAAGGCCGCACATGGCTTCGAGACTGCAGGTTCCCCACCCCGATGGACAAACTGATGTAAAGTGAAGAAAGCAGAACCAAGAAAACACTAAAGACAATTACTACAACAATGTTAAAGGAAAGAATAACAAAATAATCAGAACAGGATGCTGCAAATGATAACTGGCCTAAAGGAGAGATATGAGAGGGTACCACCTCCCCACACTTAGAACCTGCAGGAGGACTATGAGTGTGCAACACTACAGAGAACATCAGATTTTTTTCCATGTGTTGGTTACTTTTGCTGAACTTTTTCTTTATCCTTTTAAAATGTAGGTGATGTAGAAACACAAGATAACAAAAAATTATTTTAAAAACAAAAAAAATATCCAAAAGTGGAATAAGCTGGCCCATGAGTTTCCCTTTACTGGACATATCCAAGAAGAAGGCTGAGTGACCATTAGGTGGCTACACTGCGCTAAATAATCTCTAGCCTTTCATCTTAGAAATTTTACAATTTTAAGGTGCATACATTTTTCTATCAGATTTAAAGCATTTCCTAACTTGAGTTCAGGTACTGCATTATCTCACCTCAAGTTAATGTATATTAAAAACATAGTTAATGCATACTAAAAACAATATCGAACTATAATTAATCCTGGATGTCCCCATTAATTTTATTCATAATAGGCTCTGACTTAAATTTTTGAATGGACGTCGTTAGGAAGAATGACAAAAGAATGGCATTTAATTCCACTAGAGGGCAGAAGTGGTTAAGAAAGTAAACATTCAAGTCCATCAATAAAACTGGTCTTAAAACAGTATTTTTATCTCAAATTTTCTATTTCTTTTAGATGATCCAAGGAAAAGACATATACATTACCATCTGAACAGCACTGATATATTGCTTCTGCTCCACATAGATATGTGCTAAGTTTAGCCACACATCACTGATATCTGCGGTTGCCTCTCTTACTTGGGCAAATACATCACGAGCCTCACGGAAATATCCTTTGTGGGCCAGTACAGCACCTAAACAGGAGTGAAATATACAAAAAAATTTTTTTTAATTTAAGCTGACAGTGCCCAGTAGGAAATTAGGACAAATAAAAGTAGCAAATCATATTTCAGAATAATTGTATTTATAGAGAAATTCAGGGTAATAACCTCAGTGTTGAACTAAGATTCACCATCACTCGTCTCCGAATCATAAATTTCAAACTAGTGCAAATATACAAGCCTTACACTACCTATGCCATTGGCAGCATAGAGGTTCTTAGGATCATTTCTGAGGACTTGCTTGTAGATGGCTAGTGCACGATCCTGATGCCGCTTTTCCTAAAGAAGAGAAATAACACCGTTAGTTAAAGATGCTAGGAGTTCAGTCAAAGACAGCCAAATCCTACCTTCAGTAAACTAAGATATTACCTTCTCTCGGTCTCTGGTGGGCTGATGCAAAGTTTGCAGCCAAACATTGCCAAGGGCCAGCATAGAATATGTGTCATTTTGAGTGGATGGTTGCTTTAATATTCTTTCAAATTTCTTCTGACCTGGACCCCACTCTTGCTTGGCCAAATGAAGATTGCCAATCAGAGACCAAGCATCTGGATGATCCTGAAACACATGTTAAAAGTTTATAAATATTCTAGGTCCCAGAAAGTTAAGCACTGGAAGGAACTCCAGCTATCATCTGGTTGAAACCCACCTACCTCATTTTACAGAAGAAGAAGAAACTGAGCCTCAGAGAGGAAGGGGCTACCTTGTAATTGTAAGGTAGGCAATGGAAGAGCTAGGACAAGATTCAGGACTTCCAAGATATCGTAGTCCATTGTCCCATGCTAACTCTTCAAATATGGTATAATAGACAGCCCAATGGACTGGGAATAAAACTTCAAGAATTTGAAGGACGAGGCATCACAAAAACAAAGTATTCACCCTACACATAAGGATGAATTTCATCCGAAGTCATATGAAAAGGTGAGTGCAGGTTACTTTACTTTTATGGAGGGGGAGTAGTTCAGGGAGAAGGTTGAGAATAAGAACAGATGGAACAGCTGCACACACATAATACTGGGTATCAAGCACTGCTTAATGGATTACCACTTGCTGGGGATGCAACAGAAGGTAAAATTAATGCATAAAATAGGATGTTGGACTAAATGACTTTTTAGGTCCTCCCCAAAAGTCTACAAAACTAGCGTACAGCAATACAACCTGCATTTCTTTACCACCACTGTGTTTAAAAGAAATAAAAGTTGGGAAAAAACAGACTGAGATCAATAGGTCATAGCTTTTAAAAGGAAATAATTTCATTCATCAGACAATAAACTGAAAATTTTCAGTTCTCAAAAAGGATTTAATATTACCAACCTGATTGATCTGCAGAGCTTCTTTAAACCAATCTGAAGCTTCATAAAAGTTTCCTTTATCTCTAGCCATTGCTCCTAAGCGTAAATAGCCTGAAAGAAACATATGCTAAAAGACCAGCTCTACAAAATCAAATTTTAGCTTAAGTTCTACCTCTTCAGTCTACTGTTTAATGCCCAATTCTTGCCCACCACCCAAATTTCTCCCAATATTCACCTCAGTTCAAGAAAGTTCTGCCTCCTTCCTATGGCCTACAGGCAGCGGGCCTATCCACCCAACTCTCCCCCCACTGCCAGCCATACTTCTCTTCTGGCCATTCCCCCTCATCTAGAACGTCCCCACCTTCTCCTTCAATCCTACTCATTCTTAAAGCCATGCTTAAATCTGCCCAATAAAGAGCTAAGTTCTGTGAAGCCAGAGATCGTGTCTTTTATATATTCTACAGCTAATGCTGCATATGTATGTAAAAGTACATTGTGGGCGTCTAATAAATATTTGTTGATTTAACAAGTTTCAACATTTCTCATTTTTGCATGTTTGTTAAATAAAGGTATGTTGAATGAGTAACTGAATGACATGCAGGATTTTTTAAAAAGTAACTTAAAATTCTTACAGTCAACATAATTAGGATGTTCTCGTAATATATTTTTGTACAGCTTTTCTGCCTCGTGGAATTCACACATTGCCTCATAAAGCCTGGCCAGATTGTACGACGTTGTAACTGAGATGGCGTTATAGTAATGTTCGTCATGCTCAGCTTCTGCCTTAGCACGATCCAAAGATGCCAGAAAATATTTCTGTTAAAAACAGAAAAACAACTTTCAAAAAAACGTTAGGTCAGGGCTGACTTTAAAAAAAACTACACACTCCAGAAGGATACAGACATCCCATTTTCTCACCTTTGCCTCCCCTAAGTTTCCAAGCCTAAAATGGAGGGCACCCACATTATTCAGAATCTCTGGTGGGACGTCGGCCTGTACTTTCTCCTGCAGGATACGTGTTGCTGTTCCGTATGCTGACAGGGCACCCTGTAAGCCCACAAAGACAGAAGCAGGCCTAAGTTATGATGGTGACCAATGCCTTACACAGTTTACATCACAGAGCAGGCAGTGCCCAGCTAAAAGGGAATTCTACACCACGTACCTGTATGTCAGTCTGCTCTAGGATTTGTGCCAGTTCAATCCAGGCCTCAACATCATCTGGATACTGCTCTGTGACCTTCTTCAAGTGGCCCTGAGACAGAGGAGATGTCAGAATCAGTGTGATATCCACAAGTCACCAAGATAAGTCCCCATGAATGCAGCATTAAAGCATCCAAAAGTAGTGCTTTTCAAGGTGATTAAAAATTAAATCATTAATGTTTAGGAAGCACCAGGGAGGAGAAAGACCATAGACTCAAAGTCAGGAAGAGGGCTAGATACCAGCTGTGCTATGATTTCCCTGTCTGGCCCTGGTCATGTAACTCAACTTTTATGAGCCTGAGCTAATGTGAAAACTGGAGTTATCCAATCCATAAAGCCCTTGGTAAACCACAAAACAGTATATTATTATTACTATTAAGATGATTTTCCCTTGAAGTCTTATTCTTGAGGCACAAAGGTGAGCCTGAGTTTGTAAAGGGCTAAGGACAATGGAACACAAGCCTTGGGGATCCTAACCCAAATCAGAAGATTAGTTCCAGGGATCTATTGTCCCAGGTCCACAATGTATAAGTGGAAAGAAGCCCTGCCCCAGAAGGGTGGCCATGGGAGGATAATTTATTTTGGTTACAACAAGTCATGAACACTATTTTTCTAAAACGAACAGGAGTTGTGTGATTTTTATCAGTAGAGAAGGTGGGGTATAGATAAAATAACCACTTTTCTGAAATGCTAAATTCTATTGTTAGTTTTTTTCTAGAGTAACATTAATGTAAGGAATGACTGCCCATGGAATACTTCAAATCCCATCTAAAAATTCCACCTTACACAAGTAGAATTTCTCAACCTCTCAATTCTAGTGCCTTCCCTCTTTTAATTACTTCCTATTTATCCTATACACAGCTTATTTGTCCATATCTGTTTGCCTGCTGTCTCCTCCATTAGCCTGTGAGCTCCTGGAGGGCAAGGACTCTTTTTTGCTTCTTTTTGTATCCCCAGCATTTATCATAGTGCCTGGTATGTGGTAGGTCCTTAATGAATGTTTACTGACTGACCGACATCCATTTGGAGATCATTTCAGAATAACTAAGATTTCAAATGTACCTTAGCAATGTCTCGTTTGTCTTGATCTTCTGAAGCAGCATACAGAGAGCCAAGAATTTTCATTGTTTCATAATTGTTGGGATAGGCTTTCAAAACTTTCTCAAAGCATTGAGATGCGTTCTCCTTGTCACCTCGGTAAATATACATCTGGCCCAAACCAAAAAAGGGCAGTACAAAAGAGGATGAGGCAAACTGGGTGGCCTGATAGTAGTACTGGAAAGCTTGGTCATAGTCCTCCTGAACATGGAAGGACCTAGCCAGCTGATAACAGCTTTCTGCCTGCATGGCTTCCACCTCTGTGTTATGGAAAGCATGGAGAGCCAAGTGCTGGACTTTGCTATAATCCTGAAAAATGAAGAGCACAAGAAGGATAAGACACCAAACCACCTCAATCACAAAAGATGATGTTACACAAAACCTTTCCAAAGTAATACAAGAATTAGGTGACTAAAATAAATATTATCATTGGTACTAAACCATCTCAGAGTTTACTTGAGTTTTCCCCATTATCCTTGTTCAATAAAACTAAGCCATGAAAAGGACATCATGCACTTAATAATTCTTTACTTTAGTGGGGTATGTTAGGAAAAGAAATGCATTCTTTCATCTATTTTTTATCTATTTTATCTATTAAAAGCTACCAGTTAGAATTTTATATATACCGATGTAAGAAACCACTTCCTACAAATTAAAAGGCTCAAATTTTACTCTATAGGGACCACACCAAAGCTGTCACCATTTATACAGGTACAGAATGTCCTCCACATATCTGTCACTATAAAGAGGCACACTCATCACACTTCCTGTGTAATAATGCCTTAACTTATATACAGCTTTAAGGTTTGCAAAGTTTTCTTTTCACAACACCCCTTAAAGGTGGGGAGCACAAATATTATGATCTCCTATTCTACAGATAAAGGTGAAAGGGATAAAGGTCAGAGAGTTTAAGTGGCTTGTCCTGGGGCACACAGTTAGAAAAGGTCTGAGCCAGAACCTGAAGGCACCTTTCTGCTAACTCTAATTCTACTCCTCTTCCAATTCCACTGAGAGAGCACATCAAATACACAGATACCCCAGACCATGTCAGTCAAGTGAGGGGTCAATATAAAAACTCAGGTCCCAACCTATACCTATTTGGCCTCAGACTAACTTTCCATTAGTGTGAAACATCATACGTTTTGAAGCAAAATCAAGAAAGAGTTAAAGATAAAAGATTTCTCAAACCTTTTTGAAGAAAAAGTGATTTGCCAAGTGGTTCAATACCATAGGATTGCTAGGATCAATTGTATAAGCTCGGGAAAGAAGCTGGACTCCATTCTTGATAGAGTCAGCCTAAACAAAAAGACAAGGTTTGGGTTGAGAGTATAAATGCAAAATATTCAGAGAGCACTTTTTCTAAAATGTTTTCCTTTTCAAACTTTTAGAGATATGAACATTACACAAAGCCAAACCCAGGTAAACAGTTTACCTCTTACTTTACTTTTCTGAATATTCAACTTAAGGTATCTATGTTTCCCAATAATTAATCAAAGGCAATCACAACTTTATTCTAGTTTTAGCTTTAGAACTATTCCCCCATGTTCTAATTTTGGGTATATGAACATCATTTGACACAAATGATTTAAAATTAACACTAGCTCAATATGGCAAGCAATAGAAAATACTCCAATACATTCTGTTTCGAATCACATTTTTAGCTGTAAAGGAACTTTTCACAAAAGTCTGTCACATATGTTATTTAATGTGATAATGTTACTCTGGCTGCATTGCTCCTCTTCCTTAAGTAAGGCCATCTTATAAATATTTTTTAGATGATTTGTAAAAAAAATATCATTATATTCTGAAGAGAAAAAAGAATCTGTTTATAAAGGAAAATATGGCTCCTTTTTCCAATCTATATTTTGGACTCATCTTTTCAGCTAAACAGATTCTTTGAGGATTTCTCTATTGATAACCACATCAATCAATATTTGGATTGTTTTCTTACTCACATACCTCTTTATTATTGAGTTCTAGAACAGCCAATCCAACTAATGCTCCCACACACTTGGAGTTGAGCTCTAGGGCTCTGCTGAAAGCCAGACGAGCTTTCTCCAATTTGTTCAGTTTTACAAAGCAATGTCCCATTCCTAAGCGGACTTCAGCTAAAAAAAAAAATCAAGTCATTCAACCTGTTAAATTAAGGCATTTTTAAAGTTCCATTATTTAACCCTTCTATATTTTAAATAACTACAGTAAAACTCCATTATCAAGAGTCTTGTTACAATGATTTGTTTTTTCAATGGGTCAAATCATATCCTCCCTGATAGCTCCTTCCCCATGTATTAAATGATGTAAACCTTCCCCACAAGAATGCAAAATACCTAACTCTGGAGTGTTATTTATCTCTCAACACCACTGTTAAGACTGTGCTTCTGAACGACAATTTTCAGGTAGAAAGAGCAAGAGGTTCCTTTGAAAGCGAAAAGCCCTGTGATCAACAACAAAATACTGTCCATAATTTTTATCCCTTTTGCAGATTTGCACCTTACATAACACAACAGCCTGGCCAAAGATGGTTTGCTATCACACACATCCTGACCACTACTTGCTTGTCTGAGAGAATGAAAGGGCACTCACTTAAAGAAAAGATTTTGTGCAGGCAGTGAAGAGTCAAAGCTATAAGCAGCAAACCACACCTGGGTTTGCTAGTGGACTCCTATGGCAACTATAGGAGAAAAGGCTTTAGGTGAAACAGTGGTGTCATTAGAAAGTATACCAGACACCTATGGCCAAAACCACTCTCTTTAAATAGAGGGCAATAAGACTGACAGACACTCTAATCGTTTTCTTGCTTACATGTAAGAAAGTGGCCAAAAGGCAGTGCAATGAAATACTGAAGCACTGAAATCTATCTCTGGCTACAGGATATGATTATAGTTAAGTGGCACATAGTAAACACTTAACAAATGTTTTTGATTTAGCAACTGATGACTGATATTTACTTCCCTGAATGCAGAATGACACTGAGAATTTAGAAGTGAAAAGAAATTGCGATAATTAGTCCTACTTCCTTTTTTGACAGGCTTATGAGACCGGGAAAACAGGCAAAAGAGGTAGAGTACACCTGGATTTCAGCAAAGTATCTCACTGAATCAATCAATGAGCACTCATTAAACACCTAGCGTCAAGCACTGTGCTAGGCTCTAGGGACATAGAGACAAAAACCAAACAGTCCTTGTGCTCAAGCTGACATTTATCAGGGGGAACATGAACACATTAAGTAAATATAAAATACACAATCTAGCTGAGTTTTGTGTGTTTTGGGGGGGGGTTAGGGAGGGGAATCAGGAAAATCCCACTGTCCTCCACCCTGGTCAGACCACAATTAGATCACTGCATTCAGCTCTGGGAATGACATTCAAGGAAGGACACTACCAAGAAAGAACACGCCCAAAGGAAGCCACCAGGGCTGAAACTGTGCCACATGGGATCAGTAGAAGACTCTCAGAGCACTGGTATGAGAGCCAGCATAGGTCAGGAGAGGCATGATGACTATTTTCAGATATCTTAAGGGCTCATACCAGGAAGAGGTTATTCGATTTGTTCTGCTTCCCTCCTAAGGGAGGGAAGAACCAAGGTGGAAGCCAAGAGAGGCAGATTTTAATTCAATACAAGACAACATTTCCCAGTAATTAGAGCTATCCAAAAGTGAACAGGCTACCTCGGAAAGTAGTGAGTTCCTTGTCAATGGAGTTCTTAAACCACAAGACTGTTGGGAATGCTGTGGAAGAGACTCATGCTTTCAATTCTAATATGATTCTATGACTTAAAGGGGCACAATATCACCTACTGTCTTGTTTTTAAAAACCAACTGAAGACTTTAAATTCTTGATGTCATTTCCACTTCCATCTGAAGCACATTTTCTCATGTAACCTCAAGTTAAAAAACAGTCCACTAAATTATCAATATTTTAAGCTGGGTCACGGTTTTAGCCTCTCTGCTCTTCCCTTACCCGGACATCCTGGATTGGTGCGCAGTGCTTTTTTATAGTATGCAAGGGCTCCTCTGTAATCTTTCTTGTTGAATGAAATACAAGCTTTACCTGTCGTGATTTAAAAAAAGTAAAGTCAGTAGTTATTGCTAGTTGAAAGAACGTTAAGGTATGCGTAAGATTTCAGTACAGATAAATACACACAAAAAGCAATGCACTTTTAGGATCAGCCCCACATAGCAGTAAGAATTTATGCCCATAGACAGAACAGCTCTATCTTTATCTTTAAAATAATTCTCTGAACCAGTTTGGTATGCTGCCCAAATAAAGACGGATTATTGTTTATTAAACACTCAGTGCTCAGGAATGTATTATTCTTAATTCAGAAAGTGATTAATTCCAATTAATTTCAAAGATAAAAAAATTCTTGCCAAAATAATTAAACCTCTTAAAAGGATAACCTACAGGATATGTTTTCTCTTCATCACAGATTTTCTCCATTGAACTTTCTAAGGCACTCTTCAGAGGATAAGCTTTATTTTTATTAAAATAAAATTCTTCCCCCTTTGCTGAAGGGCCAGGGTCTAACTTTATCAATTACTGAGAGCTATATTCTTGACACAGGGGAAGAAATAAAATTCCTAAGACGGCTACTAAAGATAGCTTACCAAGAAGGGCTGGTATATTATTTGGAGACTGATTGAGTACAAAATGAAACTGTGCATCAGCCTGGTCCATTTTGTCACCTTCCAACAGACAGAAGCAGGCTCTTCCCAATAAATGGTTCTGGATAAAAAGAAGCACCAAATTAGATTTCCCTTATAGCAGATGGCCAATATTTATTTCCAAAGAACTTGTGATAATGGAAAAGACAGGTAAGATGTGATAAATGGAGGTAAATTCCCTTAACTGTAACATATAATTAGCTGGTGGATAGTTCTTAATTATAATCTAAAAAAAAAGTGTCCTAAAATGCATATTTTCACCAGTAATTCTGATGACAAAAGACAAAATTACAAGTTTGCAAATTCTGTCTGAAACCTATGATCCTCCACTGAAAGAATATAAGATGATGCTTGAACTACCCATTCAAAATGTGTGTTTTACAGGAGAATTTTGCCTGTTACATTCATGCAACTAACTTCTTCATAAAAATCAATCAGAAGTGATTAGGAGGATGACAATGGACTAAATTGTACTTTCAATTTTCTATTAAGTGGTACTTTCAACTAACCCAAGCTATTCCCTACCATAAATGTCATCTTTTTAACACCAATATTCTCCAAATGATGGATGCTATATGGCCACAAATCATTTCCACTACAATCCCAGAGAATCAACCCTGAAATCAACCCAAAAAGCAATGGAAAGTTGAATGATGGATGTAAAAAGCTAGACACAGCATGGTGCAAGTGAAAAGTACTCAAGGAGGATTCACAGCACCACAGTACAAATCCAGTTCTGCAAATTACTGACTTTGGCCAAATCACTTCATCTCTCAGGGGTTCAGTTTCCTTATCTTTTAATTGAAGGAGCCGGACTAGATAACCTTTGAGGTTCCTTCTGGTTTTACATCTATGACCCTATGAACCTGTATTACCAACAGTGCCTGGGACCTGTAAAATGTCATCGAGGATATGCCTTCCAGAAAACAAGGTAGGCTGGTCACACTGTGAGCGCAAGGAATAAGAAGAGACAGGCAGTCTGCACCAGTGCCTCCAGAATACTAAGAGGCCTGTAGAAGGTATGCAGTACTGGGCAGCTCTTCTGGAGGATTTTGGGAAGAACAGAAATGAGAACTGCACAGGGTGAGGAGGGGAGGTGCTGGGTGATCTGTGTGAGGTGGAAGGGGACACCAACCATATCAAAAAGAGTCCAGATTCACTAGAGCCATTTAACCAAAGATTTTACAAAGCCACAAAGATGTTTTTCATCATCAACATTCATTTCTTTAAATGAGTCTATTTCATTAAACAACAAGATGCACCTTCAATGTAAATCACACCCAGTAGATATCTGTTGTATGATTTCCATAGCTAGGGAAAGCTTTTTTTTTTTTACCTGATCATACATGATAATTTTGTCAGCCATCGTATACAACAATGTTGCCTGGGTAATGAGCTCCTTCTTGTTGTCCTTGTTTTTTTCCTTCCTGGCCTGCTGGACATAGTAGGCTGCCAATGTATCTAAGCAAGTCATCTGGTCTTTTTCATGGTCTCTATAATCCAGGTTGCCATCTATTCGAGCTGCTTCCAACAACTTCACAAAATCTTCTGTTTTTCCTTGCTTGTAATATTCCAGCTAAAAAGTAACAGAGAAAAATTAGATAAGAGATGGCAACTGAGCTGAACTCTTAAGGAAACTAGGGATTCAGAGGCACAGACATTTCAGCTATGGGGGACAGTCTGTGCAAATGTGCCAAGGAGATGGACTGTCAAATTTGGGACACAGCTAGTAACTCAATTTGACTGCAACTCAAGAGTGTGGGGAGAGGAGTAGTAGCATTGAAATATATCTGGACAAGTAGGCTGAAGCCAAATTTTGAACATGGTGGTGATGTGGGTTGATCTGTTTCACGAATATGAATTTGTCAGGTATGTGGAAGATGGAATGGAGAAGGGAGAAATTGGAAGCAAAGAGATCAATTAGGAAGCTATTACAATTGTCTAGGCAAGAGACAATAAAGGCCTGATAAAAGTAGCAGTTATATGAATGGAAAAAAGAAGGCAGATTTAAGAAAATTTGCAGAGATGGAACTTAATAGATTTTGCAAGTGACTGAACATGAGGTTGAGGGAAGAGTCAAAGATTATTCCCAGGGTGAGGACCTGGGACACTGGAAAGAGAAATGGGAACATCTGGAGGAGGGGTCAGTTTACTGGGGAAGATTAGCTCTGTTTTGAACGTATGTTTGAGATACTAACAGGAGATCTAAGCGGAAATGTCCTTTAGGCAGATGGTGCTATGGAGTTGGAGTTCAAGACAGATTAACATTGTATTATAAACTGGGAATCCTGTACATGGAGATGATAGCTGAAACTCTCTCTCAAAAATAACTCTTCTTCTATGTGGCATCATTCAAGAGAATACAAGTGGGATAAAGAGAAATGATTTGGGGTTTGCCTTTACATCCTAAGCTCTTAACAAAAAGCCTGGCACATAATAGGCATTTAAGAAATGTCTACTGCATTTGTACAGACAATTGCTTCTGTTGTCTATATTTCCTAGAAACTTGGGAGGAGGGAGAGTCTTTAGCTGATACCAGTTTTCACTTCAAGAAAATAAAAAACCTTATGAATAGAACTTATTTGGATTATTTTAAATAACATTTCTTTTAAAATGATGAAAAACTACTATTGTGCTATAAGAAATGATGAACAGGCTGACTTCAGAAAAACCTGGAAAGATTTATATGGTCTGATGCTGAATGAAGTGAGCAGAACCAAGAGGACTCTCTGCACAATAACAGCCACGTTATGCAATGACTAAGATTGTTAATCTGAAACCTTCTCAGCATTACAAGGATCTAAGACATCTCCAGAGGCCTTGGGATGGAAAATGTTGTCCACATCCAAAGAAAGAACTATGGAAGTTGAATCGCTATCACTTATTTTTACCTTCTGTTGAGTTTTGTTTCATCTTTATGATGGTTCCTCCTATTGGTTTTAATTTTTACTTACAACTTCACTAATGTGAAAATATGTTTCATGGGTATGTAAATGTAAAGCCTACATCAGATTGTGCGCCATCTTGGGGAGGGTGGGGGGGAGAAAGGGGGAGAAAAATTTTCAACTCAAAAGCATATGGAAGTGATTCTTGATAAATCAAAATAAATTAATAAAATTTTTTTAAATGATGAAATATTATACATTTAATATGTCAGAAGTGTTCTACAAACAATAAGAGAGTGAACTTCTTTAGACACAATATAACTCTACAGTGGACCTAAAGTTTGCCTGAGTGGAAATCAGATACACGTAGCTTCTTAAAAGATACATACTCTGAATTTATTTTCTTAGTCAGCAAATGAAAAACTTATTTAAATAAATACTAACTGCTAAAGCGATCCATATGTGCAATTGGGTATGTTCCTGTTTCAGAATACTGATAACTTCATCCCCCTCCGGTAACTGATCGAAGTCAAGTTCAATGACCTAAAATACAAAAATATTTGTTATTCATTATTCACATCCTTGTTCACAGTTATTTTTCCCAAAGTACAAATTTTATTTATCAGTACATATATGCCTCTTTATGTAACAAACAAGAAAAAAATCACTTATGTTCCTTTTCAACTGAGACAAAATGCCCAGTTCAAAAATACTGATACCATTCAATGTGAGAAAAATGCTTCTGGCAAGCACAAGAAATATGTTCATAAGTACCAGCACAAAAAAAAGTTGGCATTGCTGGATAAGGCAGAATCATTTTAGCTATAAAATGCCACAGATGTCTTGGTATGCTCCATACAACAAGCACTGCTTTGCATTTGTACTTAGAACTCAAGTATGCCACCCTAATTACTAAGGGAAATGGTCCTAAGTTGGATATATTTTAATGCTTCAACAACCTGTGATTTCATTAGGGTCGGTACAGACTGCAAGCCTCCTCTGTGACTTAAGCGGCTTTCAGGAGTTTCTGTGGCCAAAAATACCATCATATCACCAAATAACCAATCTGTTAACGTACAGACCTTTGCTAGGCTAGTCCTCAGGAAACAGACATACAGTCTGTGACCGCCCTTAATTCAAGCTAGTACAATGCAAACCCCGCGGCCCCCCTCCCCCCCACAAGTTTACACTGAGCTAGTAGTCTTCAAGAAGCCAGAATCACCCTCGCCACACTAAAAGAAGGACTTCAGTGGAGGAGAACTGATTTAGAGTAAGCCAACTACATTTTCTGCATAATAATCAGCTTTGCAAATGGATCCAAGCAGTGCAACTTTATGTCAGAGAAACACTTGAACGTGTGCATAATCAACTAGGAGTGGATGTAACTCCACTTCTGATGACTTTAGATAGCAAAGTCGAACTTCAAAGGAAGTCTAAAATTCGGGTGAATACAAAGCAGTGGGACCTCCGTGAAGGAAGGAGCTGTCAAGAACCCTTTACAATGGAAAGGGAAAGGATGCAGAGGAAAGAAACTTGGACTGTGGAAGCCACAGACCCCCCAGTCTTCACCAGACCGAGGGGTAAAGACCCCTTAACGTCTTTCCCAAGCAGTGGCTCCGGAACCAGAGGCTCCCTGCTCAGATGCTACTCCGGCCGTCAAACTGCCCCTGCGACCCTGGGTAGACAAGTCAGTTCCTTCACTCAGCTCCGCCTGCCTCAGTTTCCTCCTCTGTAAAGGTCTCATCCAGCTCTAGAGCTAGGACCCTATGAATGAGTGGGGCGCTCAAGCAAATGTTGGATGGGGCCAACAGGGGCTGGGGAGAGATGTACGTGTGGGTGTGACAGGTACGGGGTCCCAAGCAAAGTTACCCAGGAGAGCTCTTCGGACCAGGATGAGGCACAGACGGAAGTTCAGAGGGAGGGGGTGTCAGCTCTCTGCCTCCTCGAACCACCCCCCACTCCGGTCTGCGGACGACCCCAGGTCGGCTCGGACCCGGACCCGGGCCCGGGGATGGGGGTGGGTCAGACCCCGGACTGGGGGGGGTAAGGGCTGGGGCAAACCCGGGGCATGGGGGGGTGAGGGGAAGGGGGGGTCCCGCTGCCCCGCCCCGCCCCCTGCTGGCCGGGGGCACCTCCTGGCCCCCGGCTCCGCTCACCTCATCAGTGTCCCGGAGGGGAATCTCAATGGAGCCTCGCGACATGGTGAGGCCGGGAACCCGACGCTGGCGGGGCCAGCTCCCGCTCCTCCTCCGCGCCCGGCTCCGGCGGCGTCAAGCGCTTCTCTTCAACTCCCCTCCGGCCGCGAACACAACGAGCAGACGCCGCCACAGCCGAAGGGGGCCCAGGCACTTCCGGCTCCCTACCCTTTTGAACCGGAAGAACTCGCACGCGCGAGGGGGCGGGGCTTACCAGGGGGCGGGGCGGGAGCGGCTGGAGGAGGTGTCGAGATTCGCTTGTCCCCGCCCCCCGCCCTTACGAACGGGGTCCCTGAGGCCTCGGAGCCAAAGAACACCGGCGGGAGTCAGGCTTAGAGTTCAAGTTCGCCGACTCCGGGTGCAGCCCGGGCTCCTGAGCCACAATCTGTTTAACTAATGACAAAATTCAAAACAAACTCGGCCAGACTTGGGCCCGGAGAGGAATTGCGGGGTCAAAGGGTACGCACAGTTTAACCGCCTTGGGGGCAATCGTTAAAAGGGAACCTTTTAAATGGCACCAACAAAAATTGTGCAAAGGAACTTGCGTCATAATCGATTTAAGTAATGTGGTACAGTTATAACGTCACTCTGTGAAACTTCTCCTGTATCAACCTGAGTGAAAGGAAGGTCCCTGGAAGAATTCGGGATCTAGAGTCAGAGGACCTGGGTTCGAATCTCTGTTCTGCCAGTGACTGCCTCTATGACCTTAGGAAATGGGCTTCATTTCATTGGTGTGGGGATCTCCCAGTGTGGAAATTCCCTCTGCAGCCTCAGACACATAATACTAGCTGTGTAACCCTGGGCAAGTCACTTAACCCCATTGCCTAGCCAAAAAAAAAAAAACCCAAAACGAAATTCCCTGTGCTGATGTAGAAAGAGCATTGTCCACCACTTATAATCTTAAAGAGTTGCCCAACGGGCAGCTAGGTGGCACAGTGGATAGAGCACCAGCCTTGAAATCAGGAGGACCTGAGTTCAAATTGGCCTCAGACCAAACACTTGACACTGACTAGCTGTGTGACCCCGGGCAAGTCACTTAACCCCAGAAGCCTTAAAAAAAAAGAGTTGACTATGGCCACAGTTATTACCATCACTAGGCTGTCTTCTAATAAAATTAAATTAAATTTCCCCAATTAATAGGCATTTACTCTCTCTCTCCACCCCACCTCCCACTCCCACTTCTCCATCACACCATATTGCTTTCATATCTGCTGAGTGAATACAATTTATCAGATAAGGAAATTTAATGAAAGAGAAAGCTAAGGAGGCACATCTGGAAAGGCTTCTAGTAGGAGATAATACCTGAAATGAGTCTTGAAGGAAGCTAGAGATTCCAAGAGGTGGAGGTAAGGAAGGTGTGAATTCCAGGCATGGGGGAGAGCCTGTTCAAAGGCAGATAAATGGAAGACGATGATAGAATAGATTAGGGCTCAAGAGAGAGATTAGAACTGGACGAGTAGATTTGGGAAGCATTTGCATAAAGATGATCATTGAATCTGTGAAAGTCAACGGAATCACTAAGAGAAAGGGTATAAAAAGAAAAGAAAGCCCATGACCAAATCTTCAGGGATATTCATGGTTTAGGGACACGACGTGGGACTTGGATGACAGTCGAAGAAAGGAAGACAGAGGAACCAAAGAGAGAGTATCCTGGAAGAAGGGGCAGTCAGCAGGGTCAAATATCATCCAGAGGCCAAGAAGGAAGAGGACTGAGGAAAAGAGCCCTGGATTTGGTATCTTAAGAGAGAATGGTTTCAGTTAAGTGATAGGCTCTGAAAGCAGAATATGAGGGATTGAGGAGCTGGGGAGAAACAATTGTATGTATTAGGTTTTGAGAAAAGAGGTGTAGCTTGAGGGGGTGCCAGAGTCCAGTGGTTTTTTTGAAAATGGGGGGATCTATTTTTAATGTTTGTAGGTAGCAAGGAAGAAAGATAAGATAACTAAAAAGTGTGTAGAGCAGGAAAAAAGATAAGAAAAAAGTATACGTGAGAGAGGGAGGATGTTGGAAAGGGGCAAGCTCCCAGATGTGATGAATGATAGGATGATGGATGAAAGTAGAGAAGTAGGTTTTGACCACAAGGGGGCTAACCTCTTCATCTACACGAACGAGAGAAAAAGGAAGGATTAGAGGGAATTCTATGTCAAATATGAGTTGGACTGAATGGCCAATGAGGTCCCTTCTAATTCTGTAATTATATAATTCTGAGATTCCATGATGCAAATGGGTTGTAGAGTGTAAAACCTCACAACAGGCAGGCACTTCTCTTAAGACTAACAGCAAAGTTTGAACAAGTGAGCAGAATCTATTTCTTCCCAAGGCAAACTGGAAAATACATTTTGTGTGTTTTCACTTTATACAGATAAGGAGTTTCTAGTTCAGTGTTTATGAAGATATTTAGAAGATAAGACCGGATAGGCCTTGGAAACTTCCAATTGTTAGTTACTATTGGATACATTCATCCCATAAAGAAGAATAAGTTTTTCTAACTGTTAAGAGAAAAAAAAACTGCATTGCTATGAGCTACCAAGATTTGTATCTAAAAAAAAAACGTTTGTTTTAGCTGAACCTACTTAGGTTTTCATACTGAGTTTTTTTTTGTTGTTGTTGTTTATGAAATGGATCTTAAAATGTTTTGAAAGTCTTTTTGTTTAATTCTTACTCCATCTCTGTCTATGTTACCCACACACGATTGTGGTTTAAAAACTGCTTGGGCAGAGGAGAATGTTCATGGCATGCATGATGGACTTTTATAAGTCATTTTGAGGGACCTTTTTATATTTTGACAATTGCATAATAAGTACTATGTAAATTTTTTTCATATTATCCTAAGAACCTGTCTGCTCATTAGCATAGGTAACAAGTTGGCTGTTCTCATTAGCATAGGTAACCAAGCTGGCTCTTGAGTTTATTTGTGAACAACTTAGTGGTTTCTAGTATAAAATTTACCTGATTTCCCACTGATTTACTAACAGCCAGTTTTAGGACCATCTCTGAGCAGGATGCTAAGTATCCGTCATAGTGACACAGGTACACCAAAGAGCAGTCGATTGTAAATAAAAGATGCTGGGTTTAGGCCACTAATGTTGTTGACTTTTAATTCATCTCTTCCCTTTTTTTTTTTTTTGGAGAAATTATTTCCCAAAATCCAAATAACCTACTTATTAAATAATTTACTTCATTTTGCAGTGGAATAAAGGGAAAACTTTTGAAGTTTTGGATAAAGTATTCTCTTTTCTGTGTTTTGGTGACAAATCACTTACCCGAAGGAACTAAAGAGTGGAATCTTAGAGCTAGAATGTTAACCCTTTCAGATCAGAGATTGTTTTATCCTTTGTCTTTTCATCCCCAGTGTAGCCCAATGTGTGGTATGTGATCAGGGCTTAATAAATGCTTGTTGATTGGTTAATTGGTTGGCAGGAAACTTAGAGGTCATCCGGCCTGCCTTCTATCAGGCTAGTATCCTCTTCTAGGGATATTGGAGAGGAGGTCATTCAGCCTCACTTTCACTGACAGATTTCACTACCTTGTGAGGCAGCTGGAAAGCTCTAATTTGTTCTGTGTTTTAGGAAATTCTTCTTTAATATTGATTCTAAACTTGCAAACTTACACCCATTGATCCAGGTTCTGCTCCCTGGAGCAATATAGAATGAGTCTTCATTCCTTTCTGACGTGACTACCCAGTGCTTAGCAAATGTTTATTGACTGACTGACTACTCTTCAAATAGTTGAAGACAGCTAGCTATCCTGTCTCCCTTAAATCTTTTCTACAGACTAAACAACCCACTACCACTGCCACCACCACCACCATTTCCTTCAACTGATATGGTTTCCTCCTATGATGTCCTTTCATTCTCACCCTCCTGGTCACCCTCCCTCATACACACTTTCAGCTTGTCAGCGTTCCTCCTAAAAGGATGTCCAGAGCTCAGTACCGTTCTTCAGATGCAGTTTGACCAGCTCAGTAGCAGACCTGTTGCTTCCCCAAATCTACAGTGTACGTCATCCCTCTGTTTACACAGCCTAAGATGATGTCAGTCTTTCTGGTTAGCACATTACGCTATTGGCTAATCTTGAGCTGATACTAAATTCCACGATTCTTTTCCTTACAAGCAATCACATCTCATCCTATCAGAGATGGCCACCTTTGCTCATAACCTTATCTGCTAGATCAATCTAATTCAAGAAGCTTGCATTCAGTGTCTGCCATGCACCAGGTCTGGGGTTAGGCACTGAGGATAAAGAATGAAATGAAACATCCCTGCCCTCAAAGAGCTAACATTCTAAAGGGGGAAGACAGGACACAAAAGGGAGCTGAAAGGGCACATATTGTTGAAGTCCAGACAGTCAGAAGCACTTATATTCTTGGGGGATGGGGAAAGATTGGGGGGAGGAACTGAGTTAAGTGGCTTGCCTAAACTCACACAGCCGGTATGTATCAAAGGCCTAATTCAAACCCAAATCTTCCCGACTCTGACAACAGATCTTTACTATGTCATTTAGCCCAAGTTAAATCTATTAGTCACGTTAGAAGCCTGGGTCATGTCCCTGGCTTACTCTGACTACTCAGAGATCAACAATTTAAACAGGGTTCCTTCCCATCAGAGAATTTCGCTTCGCTGAAACTCAGATGATAGCTTCCCTGTGCAGTGTTACAGCCCTGTGAACAAACTCTAGGCAATCCATAAACTCCTGTGTGGAGCAGTTCCCCCAGTTTCACTGCCCTGTCTTACTCTGCTGCGTAAATAATATACCCCCTTGGAGGCTGCTCTGGCTTCCCTAGAACCAAGATGGTTGATCTAAAACATCACCAGCAACACTGAGGTCTCTGAAGACGTCTTCAGGTTTGGCTTCATTTTTTGGCATCAGGAAAGGATTGGAAAGATTGGAAAGAACTGGAAAAAGCTGAATCTCAGTGAGCTGCTGACCTGTTACTCTGACTAAATACTAGCTTCCTACCCCAAATTCCTTGTTCTACTGTTTAGTATAATGGAATTTGTGGCCCTTGTTCCTGAGTTCCACTAATACATGTGATCATCTCTGCTGAGCTAGCATCTCTCTTTTAAAAAAATTATTTTAAAAAATTATTTGTATTTATTTCATTAAATACTTCCCAATTATAGGTTAAAAAATTTTAACACTCATTTTTAAAAATTTTGA